TATGGGGTTTGAGCCCAAAAATATGGGGTTTGATCCCAAAATGAGGGGGTTTGACCCCAAAATTTGAGGTTGTGACCCCAAAATTGGGGGGTTTGAACCCAAAATGGGGGTTTTGAGCCCAAAATGGAAGGTTTTTACCCTAAAATGTGGGGGGCTGACCCCAAAATAAGGGGGTTTGACCCCAAAATAAGGGGGTTTGACCCCAAAAATATGGGGTTTGATCCCAAAATGAGGGGGTTGGACCCCAAAATTTGAGGTTGTGACCCCAAAATTGGGGGTTTTGACCCCAAAATAAGGGTTTGTGACCCCGAAATGGGGGGTTTTGAGCCAAAAATGTGGGGGTTGACCCCAAAATTTGAGGTTGTGACCCCAAAATTGGGGGTTTTGACCCCAAAATTTGAGGTTGTGACCCCAAAATTGGGGGGTTTGAACCCAAAAAAAGGGGGTTTGAGCCCAAAATGGGGGATTGTGGCCCCAAAATAAGGGGGTTTGACCCCAAAAATATGGGGTTTGAGCCCAAAAATATGGGGTTTGATCCCAAAATGAGGGGGTTTGACCCCAAAATTTGAGGTTGTGACCCCAAAATTGGGGGGTTTGAACCCAAAATGGGGGTTTTGAGCCCAAAATGGAAGGTTTTTACCCTAAAATGTGGGGGGCTGACCCCAAAATAAGGGGGTTTGACCCCAAAAATATGGGGTTTGATCCCAAAATGAGGGGGTTTGACCCCAAAATTTGAGGTTGTGACCCCGAAATTAAGGGGTTTGACCCCAAAATGTGAACTTCAACCCTAAAATGGGCGGTTTGACCCCAAAATGGAGGGTTTAGAACCCAAAATCAAGGGGTTTGACCCCAAAATCTGGGGTTGTGATCCCAAAATGGGGTATTTTGACCCCAAAATCGAGGGGTTTGACCCCAAAATTGAGGGGTTTGACCCTAAAATGGAGGGTTTAGACCCCAAAATGGGGGGTTTTGACCCCAAAAAATGGGGTTTAACAAAAAAAGGGGGGTGTTGACCCCAAAATCGAGGGGGTTGACCCCAAAATTGAGGGGTTCTGACCCCAAAATTGAAAGGTTTGACCCTAAAATGGAGGGTTTAGACCCCAAACTGGGGGGTTTTGTCCCCCAAAAAATGGGGTTTAACCCAAAAAGGGGGGTTTTGACCCCGAAATGGAGGGGTTTGACCCCAAAATGGAGGGGTTTGACCCTAAAATTGAGGGGTTATGACCTCAAATTGAAAGGTTTGACCCTAAAATGGAGGGTTTTGACCCCAAAATGGGGGATTTTGACCCCCAAAAATGGGGTTTAACACAAAAAGGGGGGTTTAGACCCCAAAATGGAGGGGTTTGGCCCCAAAATTGAGGGGTTCTGACCCCAAAATTGAGAGGTTTGACCCTAAAATGGAGGGTTTAGACCCCAAATTGGGGGATTCTGACCCCAAAAAATGGTGTTTAACCCAAAAAGGGGGGTTTTGACCCCAAAATCGAGGGGTTTGACCCTAAAATTGAGGGGTTCTGACCCCAAAATTGAGGGGTTATGACCTCAAATTGAAAGGTTTGACCCCAAAATCGAGGGGTTTGACCCCAAAATTGAGGGGTTCTGACCCCAAAATCGAAAGGTTTGACCCCAAAATGGGGGATTTTGACCCCAAAAAATGGGGTTTAACCCAAAAAGGGGGGTTTTGACCCCAGAATGGAGGGTTTTGACCCCAAAATCGAGGGGTTCTGACCCCAAAATAAAGGGGTTATGACCTCAAATTGAAAGGTTTGACCCTAAAATGGAGGGTTTAGACCCCAAAATGGGGGATTTTGACCCAAAAAAATGGGGTTTGACACAAAAAAGGGGGGGTTTGACCCCAAAATCGAGGGGGTTGACCCCAAAATTGAGGGGTTCTGACCCCAAAATCGAAAGTTTTGACACCAAAAAATGGGGTTTGACCCCAAAATGAGGGGTTTGACCCCAAAATCGAGGGTTTTGACCCCAAAACGGGGCCGGGGGAGGGCACAAAAAAGTCCTTTTCTGCCCAATTTGGTGGGTCGGGGTCGGTGGGAGGGGCTTGCGGTGGCCACGCCCCCTCCCCGCCCCCTCATTAACATAATTAATTGTTTTTGCATGTGCTGAAAAGGCCCCCGGGACCAGGGACCGCGGCATGACCCCGGTAATTAAGGGGGGTAATTAGGGGCTAATTAAGGGGGTCGGGGGTTCAAAGGGTTAATTAGGGGTTAATTGGGGGCTTAATTAGAGGTAATTAAGGGAAGGAGGGTGTTGGGAGCTGAGGGGTGTTAATTGTGGGTTGATTGAGGTAATGGGATTAATGAGGTAATTAAAGATATGAGGGTTAATTAATGAATTAAGGGGGAATATTGGGGCTAACGGAGGTTAATTAGGGATTAATTAGGCTATAAATAGCTTTTAGTGATTAATTAAACTGCTAATTTAGTGTTAATTAGAGGATTAATTGGGTTGAAGGGGTTTCATTGGTTAATTGGTTGGTTAATTAAGGGGTTAATAGGGATTAATTGGGCTATAAAGAGATTTTGTTGGTTAATTGGGCTGATAATTTGGTGTTAATTAAAGGGGTTAATAAAGATCTATTGGGCTGATAATTTAGTGGTAATTAAGGGGTTAATAAGGATCAATTTAAGTGGTTATTTGGTGTTAATTAAAGATGTTAATAAGGGTTAATTTGGTTGATAATTTAGTGGTAATTAAAGGTGTTAATAAGGATTAATTGGGCTGAAAATTTAGTGTTCATTAAGGGATTAATAAGGAATAATTGGGCTGATAATTCATTGTTAATTAAAGGTGTTAATAAGGATTAACAGTGATGATATTTTAATCAGGAGAAATCAGGGGGAGTAATTAAGGGTGAATAATTAGGATAAAGAAGGGGGGGAGGATGATAATGAGGCCACACCCGGGGGTGAGACCATTGAGAGGGTTAATTAGCATTAATTAGCGCTAATTAAGGACTTAATTAACCCCCCCAGGCGAGCAGGACAACTCGGACAACAACACGATCTTCGTGCAGGGGCTGGGCGAGAACGTCACCATCGAGTCCGTGGCCGACTACTTCAAACAGATCGGCATCATCAAGGTACACGCGTGCCCTTGGCGTGTTCGGGGTCCCTGGCGGGTCACCGCGTGTGCTTGGCGTGTGTTCTGGGTCCTCGGTGTGTCACCGCGTGTGCTTGGCGTGTTCGGGGTCCCTGGCGTGTCACCACGTGTCCTTGGTGTGTCAGCACGTGTGATTGATGTGTTCTGAGTCCTTGGTGTGTCACTGCGTGTGCTTGGCATGTTATCACCTGTGCTTGGTGCGTTCTGAGTCCTGGGTGTGTCGTTGTATGTCCTTGGTGTGTCACTCTGTGTGCTTGGCATGTTGTCGCCTTTGCTTGGCGTGTTCCTGTGGCCTTGGTGTGTCACCACATGTCCTTGGTGTGTAAGCACATGTGCCTGGCGTGTTCCCAGTCCTGGGTGTGCTACCATGTGTGCTTGGTGTGTTCTGAGTCCTGAGTATGTCTCCACCTGTGCTTGGTGTGTTCTGAGCCCTTGGCATGTTACAACATGTGCTTGGTGTGTTCTGAATCCCGGGTGTGTCACTGCGTGTGCTCGGCATGTTTTGAGTCCTTGGTGTGTCATCACATGGCTTTGCTGTGTTCCTGGGTGTCCTGCCCCCCTTTTACCCTTGGCATGACCGTGGCATGACCTTGGCGTGTTGTCCCGTGTGGCAGACCAACAAGAAGACGGGGCAGCCCATGATCAACCTGTACACGGACCGCGAGACCGGGAAGCTCAAGGGCGAGGCCACCGTGTCCTTCGACGACCCGCCCTCGGCCAAGGCGGCCATCGACTGGTTCGACGGTGGGGACACCAAAATTCACCTTTTTCGACCCAAAAATCACCTTTTTCACCCCAAAAATCATCTTTGGAACCCCAAAAATCACCTTTTTCACCCCCAAAACCCCCTTTTTCACCCCAAAAATCACCTTTTTCACCCCAAAAAACCCTTTGGCACCCCAAAAATCATGTTTTTCGCCTCAAAAATCCCCTTTTTCACCTCAGAAATCCCCTTTTTCACCCCAAAAATCACCTTTTTCGTCCCAAAAATCCCCTTTTCAGCCGCCTCGGCCAAGGCGGCCATCGACTGGTTCGACGGTGGGGACAACAAAAACACCCTTCTCGACCCAAAATTCTGCTTTTTCACCCCAAAAATCATCTTTGGAACCCCAAAAACCCCTTTTTCACCCCAAAAATACCTTTTTCACCTCAAAAAAACCCTTTGTTTGCCCGCAACAAAATCACTTTTTTCACCCCAAAAATTCACCTTTTCCCCAAAAACCCCCTTTTCACCCCCTCGCCAAGCGGCCATCTGGATTCGACGGTAGGGACACCCAAAAACACCCTTTTTCACCCCAAAAATCACCTTCAGCACCCCCAAAAACCCCTTTGGCGCCCCAAAAATCACCATTTTCACCTCAAAAAACCCCTTTTTACCTCAAAAATCTGATTTTTTGCCCCAAAAATCCCCTTTTTCGCCCCAAAAATCACCTTTTTCACCTCAAAAAAACCCTTTTGGCACCCCAAAAAATCCGATTTTTTCACCAAAAAATCACCATTTTTCACCCCAAAAATCATCTTCTGGAACCCCAAAAACCCCTTTTTCACCCCAAAAATCACCTTTTTCACCTCAAAAAAACCCCTTTGTTGCCCCGAAAATCACTTTTTTCACCCCAAAAATCACCTTTTTCACCCCAAAAACCCCCTTTTCACCCCCCTCGGCCAAGGCGGCCATCGACTGGTTCGACGGTGGGGACACCAAAAACACCCTTTTTCACCCCAAAAATCACCTTTGGCGCCCCAAAAATCATCTTTAGCACCCCCAAAAACCCCTTTGGCGCCCCAAAAATCACCTTTTTCACCCCAAAAAACCCCTTTTTCACTACAAAAATCATGTTTTTCACCCCAAAAATCACCTTTTCCACCCCAAAAATCACCTTTTTCATCCCAAAAATTTGCTTATTCACCTCAGAAATCCCCTTTATCACACCAAAAATCACTTTTTTCATCCCAAAAATCACCTTTTTCCACCCCAAAAATCTCCTTTTCCCCCTAAAAATCCCCTTTTTCCACCCTAAAAATCCCCTTTTCAACCCCAAACCCCCCATTTCCCACCCCAAAAAAAACCCTTTTTCCACCCCAAAAATCCCCATTTTTCCCCAAAAAACCCCATTTTTCCCCAAAAAACCCCATTTTTCC